CATCCACGTTGCTTGAAGTCCAGTGTAAAGTTTCCACAGTCAGTGATGGTTTGGGGTGCCATGTCATCTGCTGGTGTTGGTCCATTGTGTTTTCTGAGGTCCAGGGTCAACGCAGCCACATACCAGGAAGTTTTAGAGCACTTCATGCTTCCTGCAGCTGACCAACTTTTTGGAGATGCAGATTTCATTTTCCAACAGGACTTGGCACCTGCACACAGTGCCAAAGCTACCAGTACCTGGTTGAAGGACCATGGTATCCCTGTTCTTAATTGGCCAGCAAACTCTCCTGACCTTAACCCCATAGAAAATCTATGGGGTATTGTGAAGAAGAAGATGCAATACACCAGACCCAACAATTCAGAAGAGCTAAAAGCCACTATTAGAGCAACCTGGGCTATCATAACACCTGAGCAGTGCCACAGACTGATCGACTCCATGCCACGCCGCATTGCTGCAGTAATACAGGCCAAAGGAGGCCCAACTAAATACTGAGTGCTGTACATGCTCATACTTTTCATGTTCATACTTTTCAGTTGGCCAACATTTCTATAAATCCTTTGTTTTTATTGGTCTTCAGTAATATTCTAATTTTCTGATATGATGAATTTGAGATTTTCATTTGTTGTCATTTGTAATCATCAAAATTAAACAAAATAAACATCTGAAATATATGAGTTTGTATGTAATGTATGAATATAATATACAAGTTTCACTTTTTAAATGGAATTACTGAAATCAATCTACTTTTTCATGATATTCTAATTTTATGACCAGCACCTGTATGTAATGTCATGTAGTCGTGGCTTCAACAAACTTATACCCTTTGTTCAATTCTTAGTACAGAATCACTGTGGGACATTCTTAATTTTTCTATATGTTACTTATTGTTAGAAAAGGATCATTTTATAATTTCTTTATCTTAAATCCCTCAGGGAAGGCCTCTGTATTCATTCTCACTAAGTCGCTTCAAAAATCACATTTTTATTATACGTCCATAGCACAACATAACTACTAAACATTTCATTTATTCATAACAGTTTAAAGATGAAGCTGGTGTTTGGAGACAAAGAAAGACTTCAGAGTAAAGAGAAGAGGAGACAGACCTACTGTTGATCCTTCTCCTCTTTTCTTCTTCACTGCTCTCTGTTGATAACAGTTGAGTTTCTTCCTGAATCTGCTGCTTCTGCTAACCAAGATGATGGTTCCTGTGAAGGATCAGATTATTTTATTAGAAAGTTTTTTCTGTAAATCATATTTCATAAACCAACCCGTGTACCTACTCATTAAAAAAACAACAACAGAAGAATCCATCCATCCATTTTTTAAACACGCTTATCCCAAGTGGAGTCGCGAGGGGTTCTGGTGCCTTTCTCCAGCGGTCAATGGGTGAGAGGCGGGGTACACCCTGACAGGTCGCCAGTCCATCACAGCACAGAAGAATCAACATCTGAAAATCTTTCCTGAAACAAATTTATAGAAAAATTAGGTGATAACAGAAAGAAACTGCAGTTGCTTAGGGGCCCCCGACCTCTTAGGGGCCCCGTCACTGACACCTGGTTGGCCACCTTTTTGCAGATGTAATAGTGTGAAAAATTATTCTTAAACCCATCTGATACTCGTTTGACCGACCGGATGTTATTTATACCCCAACACATGGCACATTTCAACATGATGGTGAGCCGTTTTCACATGACACCAATAGTAAAGCAGACAGTGGTACTTTTAATTACTAAGTTAATAACTGCATATAGTTCATTAGACAGTTGGTAAAAAATACAGTCATAAAAGATCTTAAAAGAACAATGTATTTCAGTATTTTATTTTTTACACTATGATTTGGAATCATGGGTAATTCATAGCGTAGATTAAAACCAGAACTGTCATGTACAATGTGTGAGTGAGGATTGATACCAAAAAGAGGTAGTTAAGCGGATTCCAGAAAAGAAAGAGCAAAGAAGAGCTGCTGGAAGAACGGAAAAAACTTCCTAAAATAAACACATTCTCTGGTGTGCGGTGGGGATGGGGTGTAGTACTTCATATGGGGCCCACCCAGATAACATTGCTTACGGTCCTATTGTTGTGTCGTTATGCCACTGAAACCAGCTGTGGTCCTAAACTGGTTTTCCTCCTGGATCAACAGCCAACATGTGACAGTCAGATTCATTATTACCAAGGTGTAGTGGAGGATTTTCTTTTTCTCTCATCATCATCTCTATAAGTGGTCCTCCTAATGTCAATCATTCTGGTGATTTTTTATGTAAGGCTGTCCTACGTGCTTGTCCCCAGTTAGTTATCTTTTTCACACTTTCAGGCGTATATGTGTGGTAAGCTACAGTTTCAGACATTCATTAAAGCTCACCTTTCTCATCGCGGTTCTTTGAAAATGGCTGAGGGTCGTAAGAAAAAAAGTGTCTATGAAGTGTATGAGAAGAAAAGAGAGGCCTCAGAAGAGAGAAACAAGACCAGATTGTTTTTTGCGAGATTCTTTCATGCGATGTCTGGCTTCCCACTGATGCCTCAGTTCCTACTTGGCATACTATTTGGAGAAATTCATAGTTAAAGTTATATACCTCTATATTGTAACTTTCCGGGGATGATAAGTTTATTTCTTCTGTAATTTGTGATCATTAATAATTCTACGGAGGCCAAAAATCCTTATTTACCCCACAAACATGTCCAAATTTCCACTGCAGCACACACAAAAATACAAGCATGTCCTGATTTTTTTAATGTACTAGTAGTATTATTTGCGGTGAAACTTTTTATATATAAATATGGGTGAGATGAGCAACCGTGTTTTCATTGGGTCCTTGCACCCTGTTAAAACATGTTAAAAGCATGGTTACAGGAGAATCAAACCTGTAATCATAATCAATAACTTCTG